AAAGAGTTTGCGCTATCCTGGAGGGAGTCGAGTGAGCAGCTCCAAGATTGCGGGATTAGCCTCACAGTTACAGATCAGGGTTATGCCATAGCGCCTATCACTCGAACTGCCCGTTTTGTCCCGTTGGCCGCCGCGGGATTGGTAACATCGAATCAGCGCAACTCTTGGCAGTAGAGGGTACGGTCACCTCAGCCGTGTCCTCGCTTTTTCATCACGCTTTGTCTTCCCTGTGTGACAGAACCAACCTCCTTGCTTTTGCCCTCCACACCTCGCTAGCTGCTAACCCTACGCTAACCCTCCGCAAACTACTGGGACGAAGTGACATTGCAGCTTCTTCGCTGAGTGACGACCTAGTGCAAGTCCACCGGTGCATGGCGATCCCCCCGCGTAATTTCGAATTGATTCCGTTCAATGGCACGTGTTTCACCAAACCGCTCGTAAGAATCAACCCACCGTCGGGCTCTGCTGTGATTTCATTTGTCGATCCAACCACCATGATCATTTCTCAGCAGGCTTCGGCAACAGAATGCTCAGCGGTTGGCCACTTCTATTTTGCTCACGAGAGTACTTACCTTAAATTTGATCCTTTGACTGGTGAGACCCACGCCCTGCCTCGGGGCAGTATTCGAGATGTGGGCATCCCTTCTAGCGTCAACGCCTCGGCGCTAGCGTTACCACTGACGATCTTTCACAACCTCATTTTAACGAACCTCAGCGAATTGGTCCAAGATAATCAGTGGCAAGAGATGTGGTCTGTGGTCTCTTCTGACCACTTCGCTCAGGTAAGGGTGGCAAGCGACCATGTACTACCTTCTGAATCAAGCTCTCAGGCGTGGCCTTCGTTTTCTTTGTGGGCCGCGATCTTTGGTTCCTGGTCAACCTTCGAGGTTTGGGTCGCCCTTTGCTGTGCTATTACAACCATTCAAGTGGCTAAAGGGATCTGTGCTATTACAACCATTCAAGTGGCTAAAGGGATAGTGGCTAAAGGGATCCTAATACTTTACTTTACGTTGTACTACCCTGGGTTATTGCTACGTTTCCAAGCACAGCCGGTGGTACCGCATCAACGCGCAACATCGAACCCGACGCGTAGTTCTCTTCCAGCTTTTACGGACGTTTCTGAGGAACCCTTCTCTCCCAGTGCTCTAGAACTGGCCCGCGTGCAAATTGACGCGTCTTCTTCGTGGCCCCCTCGAGCAATAATGGCCCCAATTAATGTGCTCTATCTGACTGACCCTGATCGTTTTTTCGGAGCTCAGATTCCAATCCGAGTCAACAACATTAGGGTGCTAGCTCTCGTGGATACGGGTTGACGGACCCTGATCGCTTTTTCGTTGCTCAGATTCCAATCCGAGTCAACAACATTAGGGTGCTAGCTCTCGTGGATACGGGTGCGTCCATAACCATCACGTCAGTGGACACAGCACCCCTGTTCGGCGCCTTCAATCTTACGAAGAGCGACGTTACGAGTGCGGTAGGTATGGCCGGAGTGCCGGTTGAACTCTTAGGCTGTGCTCCCTTATTGTTCGAGATCGGATCTCTCTCATTCCGGCATCCTGTTTTCTTCACCAAGTCTGCCTGATGTAGCAGACGCTTATAACATCATTCTTGGCAACGACCTATTGACCTATTGTGCAGGTTACCACCTTGGTCGGTCGATTATGGTAACCGCACATTACGATTCGCCGATCAGCATGTGGAAATTCTGTTGTCGACTCCCAGCGAAGCACCACCATCATCAGACCAGCTGGTACCAGTCCGAGTTGCAGAGAGGACAGTGCTCCCACCGTCAGCCGAATCCTTTGTGCCCTGTCAAGTCGATGCCACGGGTCTCGATCCTCTGATGCTTGTTTCACAAAGTGTAAAACTTTCTGAAAAATCACTGATGATCGCCCCAGCGGTAGTGAATGTAGGTAAACCCCTCTTATTGGTGGCTAATCCAACCCCACAGCCAGTGACACTCTACAAAATTACAGCATATTTCGTCAGCGATACCTTTGCAGTCCAGTGGATCGTCACAATCGATCTCGTCCTCGCCGGACTCTCCTTTATTCGTTGGCAACGTCTCGCCTAGGGTTGATGGTCCTGAATACAAGAAACGATCCGGGGATTGCGAGATCGATTTATCCCAGGCAGAGGTGTCTGACGATGAACGAAGTTCCAGTTCCATCAGTTCCCAGTTGTTCCACGAATTTCGCGACAGAATCTCGACCGATTCGTATGACTTGGGCTCTTACGAGGCATCGGAGATAGTTATAAAAACTACTACGCAAACGCCGCCTATCAATTTCCGCCCCCCTCGTATTCCCGTAAAGTTCCAGAAGGAACTCGACGACCATATTAATAAACTGTTGCGGGCCGGCCGGATAGTCGAAAGTGACACTCCATGGGTCCATAACACGGTGCTGGTCAAAAAGAGGGATGGCTCTCTGAGGGTGTGCCTGGATTTCCGCCCGCTCAATAGTGTCACCATTCCTGATCATTACCCGCTACCGCGCATCGAGGATATCCTGGCGAAGATTGCTGGGCACAAATTCTATACCACGCTGGATTTAGCCTCAGGTTACATGCAACTTCTGCTCTCACCAGATAGCCAAGAAAAGTGTGGTTGGGCCACCCATCGGGGAATCTATCAGTTCGTCTATTTACCCTTCGGTCTCAAGAACGCGGGCGCCTCTGCAGTCGCTCAGAAAAGTATTTTATAGGTTTCGCTTGTATAATATCAAGGTTTCCGGGAAGAAGCTCACAGAAATAGCTCGGTCTCGTATTAACTTCCTAGGACATGAGATTTCCGGCTCGTCCTATACACCGGCAGAGAGGAATGTTCGCGCGATACGGGAGTTCCCTTCTCCATCATCCACCAAGGCCGTAAAGGGTTTTGTAGGTATGGCTAATTTCTTCCGCAAATTCATACCGAACTTCGCGTCCGTGGCTTCCCCGCTATACGCACTTTTGAAAGACAAAGCAAAATTCATATGGGGACCAGAATAGGACGCCTTCCAACAGCTCAAGTCTCTGCTAACCTCCAAACCGTGTCTAGCCTTTCCCCAGGACAGAGAGTTCTTCATGCATACAGACGGAAGTCAAATTGCGGTGGGAGCTGCACTGTTCCAGCACAGTTCTGACAATGACCATCAACTCGTGGCGGTAGGGTATTTTAGCAAGGCTCTTTCAGAATCGCAACAAAAATGGAGCCCAACCCATATTGAGCTTTTCGCTATCATCAGCGCGCTAAGGTTTTTCCGGACTACAATCTATGGCAACCATACTACTATATTCTCGGATCACCGCCCGCTTACCTTTTTGCTGAAACACAACAAGTCGCACGATGATCTGTCGCGTTGGGTGGTCGAGCTGCAGGGTTATGATATCTCTAATGAGTATCTCAAGGGCTCTTCCAATGTCGTGGCAGACGCTCTGTCACGAGCAGTTGCCCCGACGGTCCGTTTTCAGGATGATACACCAGAAGCCGACGATATTGTTGAATTCCCGGTTAGCATTAATGCCATTCGGGCAAGTGCCTATTCTATCCGTCCTGTCGTTCGTTGCCTTGGCCCTCTGCAAGCCATCAGGCCGTACAACATTCTCCAGGAGCAGAAAGCGGACCTCCTTTGCTCGGCGATTATGTCTTTCATTGAGTCGCAGCGCTTTCCTCAAAATCTGAGTGAAGAACAGCGTGCCACATGGTTGGCGATCGCCGAGAAGTGCGTGATCCGGAAAAACGGATGTTTCTAGTACAAAGACCACCAAAACGTCACCACGCCTTTTCGTTTTGAGCGTCTCGTGGTGTCGGACAAGCTCAAAGAGCCCATCTTTCTGGCCTTCCATTCGAGTCCTTCGTCTGGTGGCCACTTTGACTGGAGAAAGACCTTGGCTAAAATTGCTCGCAAGTATTTTTGGCCTCACATGGCAGAGGATATTTTCGCCCTGGACAAGCTCAAGGAGCCCATCTTCCTCGCCTTCCATTCGAGTCCTTCGTCTGGTGGCCACTTTAACTGGAGAAAGACCTTGGCTAAAATTGCTCGCAAGTATTTTTGGCCTCACATGGCAGAGGATATTTTCGCCCTGGTCCGTTCCTGTGACGCATGTCAGAGGAAGCGCCCCAATCCGGCAAATCAGGAATTACTTATACCAGTCACTAGTGGTGCAATCTTTGACAAGGTGTACGTGGATTTGACAGGCCCTCTCCACCCGTCGGAAGCTGGCAATAAATACATTTTGGCCATGATCGATCACTTTTCCAAATACGTCATCGCAACGCCGCTTCCTGATTGCACAGCGATCACGGTAGCACGAGCCATAGTCTCAGAGTGTATCTTAAAATTTGGCGTCATGACCCAACTAATCTCTGATAATGCTTCATACTTCAAGGGCGAAATCATGAACGAGATCGGACGCTTCCTAAGAATACATAGATATTTTTGTACACCATACCACCATGAAGGCAATGGCGCCTGTGAGCGCGTCTTTGCTACTTTCCATCCTATGTTGCGAACCTACATTCACGAAAATCAGTTGGATTGGGATGAATACGTGAATGCATGTGCTTTTATGTACAACACCTCTGTCCTCTCTAGTATCAATAACTCTCCATTCTTTATAATGTTCGGACGCGATTCCGTATTCAACATTGATTAACTGATCAAGCAAAATTTAGAACATCACTTCTCCTTTTCGGACGATTCGAGGCTTTATCTTCAGAATTTGGTTGCTTCTCTCCATTCCACTTGGCGGTCGCAAGTCCAGTTCAACGGCCGTCAAAGGGAACGAATTAAGCGACAACATGACCACTCTCACCTAGCTCCCCTCGCCATTAAGGAACGAGACCGCATATACTTGCGTGACTTCGCTCCCAAAGTTGGACTTTCCCAAACGTTGTGTTACCCGTGGTTGGGACAATTCCGGGTGATCAAAGTGGATCCTTCTCACCTAACTATTCTGAGTATTTCCGCGCCGCAGTCCCCTCCCAAAAAAACCCATATGAATTAGGTCAAACGTTGTCATCTTTTGTCTGGCCCTGTTTTCACTTCGCCATGGGTTCCCGAGGTAGAACAACTGGCCTTAGAGGCTGCCGGGGCCTCTAACGAACCTATTGTAGGCCACGACCATACTATTTCCGAGAGCACGGAAACACCAACTGATCAACCCACACATTCATATAATACACGTTACAGATCTCGCCGCACCTCTATTTAACCTCTTAGTCGCAGTTTTCACTAGTTCTACCTTCCTGAAACTCATTTTCTTCTATTCCTACACCTCCTTGCTTTGAACACCAGCTTACTTACACATCTTCCTGAGAACGGGTAAAACCTTGACGTCACAACATTCTCGCTGCGTCGAGAAGGAAACCCCCTTGCTTAATTCCTAAGTGGCCGCGCGGTACTCTGCTTTAAGAGCATCTGGTTTCACTTTGTATTGGCACCTTGCGTGGCCCAGATACCTGCATTACCTACTTCAACAATCTCCCGTGGTACGTTTGTCTTCGCGCTTTATACATCACTTCTTGACGTGGTATGATACTGTCATGGACGTACACTTTCCTCGATTTTATTTCCTATCTTCTTCTGTGATTCTTTCGGAGATATTTCGTTTCCTATTTTCTTCCGTGTCTCTTTCGGAGAGAGCTACGTGTTTCTTTCTGTACAAGACCGCTCTCTTTATATTCCTCTTTCAGGTAATTAGTTTGAACCCGACTTTCGCTTACTGGTGCTAGCGCTCTCGGTTATTGTTATTGGTTGACATCGACTACACGTTTCACAGCGGCTCATCGACATAGGTAAGACACAGGATCATAGGTAAGACACAGGTATTATTTTTGATAATAGCCGTGCCTCGGCTGATACCACTGTGTGTTTCCGAGTCCTAAGGCAACGGAATTCGTTGCGGACTCGTTTAGTCGTGACTCGACTGTTATGACGCCTGCCCCGGAGGCTGAGGCTCCCCGAGCCGCGCTTCCCGGCGGCGTCATGGGATCACGGTCTCGCGGTTCGGCGTCTTGTAGTACTGCCGGTCCTTCTCGTCGAACGTCTCGTTCCAAGTCTTCCGTACCGCTCTCGCGTATGACGGTTTCTATGGAACAGCTCGCTGTTTCCTCGCCTCCTCTACCTAGTTCTATAAGGCCACCCCAACCGGAGAGTCAAACTCCTCCAGCCAAGTTTCGGCGCTCGCAATCGAGCAGACGCAAGCCCGTCGTCACCTCCGGTGTCCCGTCAGGAGCTGGGCCGACGTCTTCCCGCGGGGCCACCTCATCCCGGGGAGCGGCACGTGGTCGTGGATTGCCTACTTGGTCTGCTTCGTCCGGTAGGCCCGGCCCTTCCGGCATGTCAAGGCGCGGCGTCTCCTCGTCGGCGTCAGCTCGGGGACAGAGTCGTCCAGCCGATGCACCGCCCTTTTCTGGTCCTCTCCCTCAGGTACCTACGTCTCAGTTACCGCAGGATACACCGCAAGGGTACACTCATTACCTAATTGACAAACACCCATGGGCACGTTTCGTCAACCCTCGTCCGGTGCATTTTCTCCGTGAGAACCTCCCCACGGTAACGGCGACTTTGGACACTACTGTGTACCGTCACCTCCCGGATGCGGGATACATGTCGACGCGTTTTAACAAGTCCTTGTTCCCACAAGTGGTGTTCCGTGCGGATAGATTGCCGACCAGAATTCCATTTATCGAGATCTCACACTTGGAGGACACCATAGACTTTCGAGCGCGGTCTAAGCAGGTGATGAACCAACTTTTGTTCGGTGCCTATGACGAGTCGATGTCGCCAATGTGAGGCCGTCCCCGGCCTATCAGCTGCACTCGGTGAAGATTCCCCCGTGTACAAGGGCATTCGCCCGGTGCTTTATCAAGTGGTAGCCACCGGATGGGGTGCCGGTGTAATACTGGAGGCTAACGATTTCTTTATTATGGGCCCAGACCGCCGCGACCTGCACTGCATCACATTCGACCAGTATTCCATCGATGTGATTATAGGCGGTCGAAGCTTTAACAAAGCCTTGCTGTCAATAAAAGACTTTGTTTGGGTGTATTCGGTCAAGCCGACTCTCCAGGCTTTGCAGTCCCCTAGAACAACGCTCCAGCAAGCTTCGGTACCACGCACTACCGCCTTGGAGACCACCTCCTCGTTCTTTTTCAGGGTCTCCCACTTCGCTTTTGCTCCTATAATCAACCGCGAAGAACCCATCTATGGGACCCTATTATCCCGGACCACCCGCTATAACAACGTGATCCACGCGAGAGCTGCCTTCGAAGGCTGTCCGGACGCTGTCACCATCACTCCGCCGATTTGTCAGTTTTCGCTGAATCGAAGGTCCCGTATGAGATCCTGGGCGCTCACTCTAGAGTAAACGTCTCATCGGCTACTCGTTTCTGTGAGCCTCCTGTGTCCCTGGAAGCACGAGCGCACTTAGCGGGGCTGATTCGCTGCTTCCTGCCAATGCACCCCGACGAAGGGATCTTACCCCTCACGGTGTTCAAGATCTCTCCAGTAGAGCAGGCTCGGTTCGCCGACCGTCTCGGCCATTTTGACAATTTTCACAGGGACCCTGTTGGGTCGAAACGAAGATTAGCTAAGATTTGCAATGCCGCTTGCTCGGCATTGGCCGCCGTAAATGCGGCAAGGGATGACAAGCACACGCACTGGGAAGTGGCTTTCGTTGTCACCCCGGTTTGGCCCCCCCTCCGTATCCAAATAACGCTGAGGAATATGGCATCAGAGGCTGGATGGTCAACTGGCCGACACGCGATCATCTGGGTGCCAGGAGCTTTGAACCTCATTAAAATGAAGCTGGTCTCGGTAGAAGCGATTTCTCCGCGCAAAGAAGTCAGAGTCATCCTGCAGGCCTTCACATGGTCGCATGAACCGCTCAAGCGGCTGGTTCAGCGGTTCGGGCGGGATGTACCAGGGTCCCGAGCCTTCGACGTATGCGTCCGTCTCGGCAAATCCACAAAGTCGGCAAACCCGGTGTATGATACTGTGGCACGGATGGACGTTTTCGACAATGTGATGCCGCGCACCCTGGCTGACCAGCTGATCACCATCCTCTATGCGAACCAGCGACTTGGCACTAGCGATGAGCCTCATCTTAAGTCTCTTCCACCACCCTCAGGCGAGGAACGCTCCTTCCGCGTTAAAGGACGTTCAGTAGCACTCACGCCTGACCAACGGGTCGCAGTTCGTGTCGGAACCGGAAAAATTCCCCTGGTGGCCATACAGGCTGCGTTCGGAACCGGGAAGACCCTCGTCGGAGCCATAATAGCTGCGTTGCTATATGGGGACAGCGAGAGCATAGTAATAGTGACGACCTCAACTAACGCAGCAGTGGCCCAATTCACGGACACATTACTGTCTCTTGAGGATTTTCCTCAGATGCGAGTGGTGCGGCATATCTCTGACACAGCGGCGGCCGATAACTTGACTCCGACTCCTGTTGACCTTAGTAAGGTACTGAAGTCGCTGGGAAGTGACTTCAAGGACCAGTTGTCGGAGGAAGATCTCGAGAGGTGCGAGCTGTTTAAAGGGTATCGCGACATTATTGAAAGTTATATTGAGCATCCGGAAGCGATCCCCAATATGACGGACGACCAGAAGGACGAGTATGAGATCGCGGAACAGTACGTTTCGCGTATGCTCAAGCGCATGGTGAAGATCATGTTCAGAACAAGGCGTCCTTCGGTCCTCTGCATGACAACATCATCCCTTTTGAATTCCACCGGTCGCAAGGGGATCTTCAAATCCTACATACGCGACTTCAGGGTAGTAATTGGGAACGAGGCGTCGCAGATCCCGGTGCCGGCTCTTCTCACGATCGCTAGCCGTCTTCCACACGCTCGCCAGGTTTATATAGGGGATGTGCACCAGCTCGCTCCGCACGTTAAATGCCAACCGACGTCCAACCCGGCCGTCCACGGAGCGCGCAGTGTCATGGACTTGCTCCTCCACGCCCCAGCAGTACCCGTAGCGCCGCTCATCACCACCTTCCGCGCTCACCCGGCACTGCTGGCTCTCCCCAACCGCATCGCATACGATGGGCAGCTGGTCAGCGGGACCCCTGTGGAGGCCCGTAGTCTCCTTGTGTCGAGAATGTACTTACCGACTCCTGAAGTCCCGTTCATCTTTGTAAATGTAGCGGGCAAATCGGCGAAGGCCCCTAGTATGCCCCATTTTAATGAAAATGAAATTTCAGCATGTTTAGGCGTTTTGCGCAAGCTCCTGGGTTTGGGTATCGCCCCGCAGGACATCTGCGTGATTACCTTTTACAGGGAGCAGTATCGTCAGATGAAGCCGCACGCCGAGCAGTACAACGTCGAGCTCACCACCGTGGACTCCGTTCAGGGCCGAGAGGAAGAGGTTGTTCTTTTGCTCACTACAAAAACTAATTTTAATCCAGATAAGGCCACCTTCATCAACGACTACCGACGCCTAAATGTGGCTACCACCCGCTGCCGCTATGGCCAGTTCGTTTTTGGGCATGCGAAATCGCTCCGGGCACTGCCGACATGGAACACCCTGCTGCAATGGGCTTATTCACTCCGCGCCGTCGTCACTCAATCGCAAGCACTCCGGTACTTTGATCCGTGAGCATTTGTTCGGTGAGTCACTTTTATCCTCCACCGCCGTATGCAAGCACGTTTGAAGTCCGGGTCGGACTTTGGGTAAAGAGGGGAGGTGTAAGTGATGCTGTGAAAGCGTGACGACAGTTAGACGACTTTCATGACTCATCTGACTATTTCAGGGCGAGCGAGGACGATGGAAGCTGTCGAGGAGTCGGCCACACGTCGGACCGAAGGACAGTCGCCTTTCTCTGTACAGTTCTATTACATCTTGGGGCGACGTCCCAGACACGAAGACTTGTTCATCAACCTATTGTTCTTGGCTTGGCTTTGTATATGTTCTCCTATCGTGTTATGTTTATATCCTTTTATTCGGATCTCGAGTTGTTATGAGAAGTTATTATTATTTCTTTGTTGCTGCTCATATATGTGCCTTATGAAGCCTATCTGCTAGGACTGTTATTTTCCTAATAAGCCGTAGTCAACTGCTAGTCTAAGATGTTCATGCACGAGCCGCTGCGCACGCCAGCTTACTGAGCTTTATTAAAAAGTGGGCTTTATGCTTATGATTGGCATTCGTGATTTTTAGTCCTGTATTGGCTGTAGTGCTGTCGTTTTCACTCATTTTTGGTTTGTCTGACTTTCCGGCTGTTTTTATTTGCTTTGCTTTCAATGTATGGAAAAACTTCCGCCTACGCATAATAACCTCAGCTTTTATAGCGTTTTAGCCGCAATTTTAGGACAAGCGAAAAAAAACAAGGAATGATTTGGCTACAATCTCACTCATTCCTGGTATCACGTGTCTTGGCGTCTACTCAAATTTCTCATGGCAGTTGAGGAGCAACAAGTGTGTGGTGGCGGTTCAGTGGTTTTTATACACTCCAGTGATTACGGAGTGAAAATACAACAAATGGGATAACAAGGGCGGTTGTTACCACTATGAATGCACAGAAAGATAGTGAATAAGTCTTCATCTTAGATGACACAAAACCTACGTCTCGCCCTTGACGGTGTTAGAGGTAGAATGAGGGATCCACTTACCTCGGAGCCTCTTGACCCCGCACCATTTAGAGGTGTGGGTTCAGCTAGGGAGTCGTCTTAGACAGTGAGGCGACGAAGTACTAAAGAGGATCGTCGCCGAAGACGATGATCAAGTGCGCGCTTTTTACAGGTACGTATTTGTATCTGAGTCTTACGCCCTACGATCGTAATTAGATAAAAGAGACAACTCCATGGGCCCGCCTCTGAATGGCGTTAGTTAGTTGCGTTGCCCAGACTGTCTCCTCCTCGGTCATCTCCAGCAGCAGACACTTCACTATTCATTTCTGGATACCTTTAGACATGCGATATCTCAACTTGACAACTACTAATGCCTTATACATGCGTCACTCGCCCCGTGAAGGTTATGCGGTCACTGCCAATGTCTTTCCGCCATACCCTCGGGCCGGCTTTGATAGCTTTCAACGAGTTTTTTTCCTTCAGAAGTCTCCTATTTCTCTATTCCCTCTAGGCCCCGTGCAGTCATCCAATAGTCTTCTATGTGTGTGTTTCCGCTTTGTGCTCAAGCCCCTTTCCTTGGCTTTATTTTTACTTTGTTTCCTTTTATGCTTTCTGTTCTGCTAGCCGTTGTCTTTTTCCTTGCCGGTCTTTTTCACTAGATTTACGCTTACGATTTGTTGGATTTGTCTGGATCATCATTTTTAAAACTCAAAACCGCTTTTTCATTTTTTTATTTCTACTGAGTGCACCTTAGGTGCAAATAATAAATAAATAAATAAATAAATAAATAAATATCTCCTACAGCCAGATTCTTCAAGGGTAGAGCTCAATTCAAGCGATCATCCATGTTCGATGCGTTCTTAATTTTTGCGCACGCGACATTGTGCGGTGCCCGACTCATATAAAGCAGGGAAAAAGAGTTACCTACGATTGAGCTTCGATCGCTTGCCTTCGGGCAACATTTTCACAACAAATCTGAAATAAGAGGGTCACAAAGAAAATTAGTAGCAAAATGTAAATTTACGCACACAGAAGACCGGTCATTGTTAAGGAACGCGATAAAACGTAAAAATCACAACAAAATCTGATAAACGAGTCGCAAAACCGTACAAGTCACATCTCATGAATATGTAATACAATAACTTCCACTGGGGTCACCCAAAGTACCTTTTATTTCGTCTTCCATGTAACGAGTGTTTGGAGGTGCTTGAGAGTGTTTTCGGGCTACAATATAATAAGACATTCAAGAGACTTAGAAGATATTGGCAGCAAAACGAACTAGTCTGCAACGAAATGCATTGGTCTGCATCAAAACCGACTAGTCTGCAGAAAAATGCACCTACTATGAATGCGCCCACTTATATTGATGCCATTGGCCATTACCGTCTTCCATAGACGGAAGGCTCTTAATTTGCAAGCCTGCCTTTGTGTAGGAGGGAAAGCATCAGATATCAATTGGAACGCTTTTAAATGTTTGCTATGGAGGCATCCCATTTCGAAGACGAGGAATACTAAATGGTTACTATTTTACAACACAACTACGAGATTGCACTTGAAGTAACTGCGACTTCTGAAGAGGATTTTCCGAACGTTCCCCAAATATAGCGAGTCACATAGCCGTAGTGTTGCACTAAAACGAGAGGACCGCATACATTTTTACTGAATCAGCAAAAGTTATTGAAGCTTGTTCGAAATTAGTGCTGCATCCACCATATAGCACTGATTTCGCGTCATCTATGATGGATAACATTTATTCCGGTCGTTGCAGAACTCCTCGAATGGGAAAATCTTCGCCAAAGGTGAGGATAGCAAGTCTTATGTAGTCCAGTTTTGTGCCCAAAAAAAGGGAAGTTCTATGCGGTAGGAGCAACGGAATTACCAAAGGGATAGCAAAAGATAATAGAACAGAATGGGTCAAACATCAGTGGTTGAGCTTTCTTCACCAGCATTAATAACGCTCGAAAATCGCGATAATTTTCCAAACAATCCAATGTTTCATTTTATACTGACACGATATTGCGGCGCGACGGACTTTAAAAGCCTTCTGGATCATGGCTAAGGGCCCCTAAAATTAAGTGAAGGGAACAGTGTATGGAGGTAACCACACATCTGGCGCCCTTTGCAGCACTATGCAACTTTTGACCTACGCCGTCGATCACCTCGGAGGTTCTCCCGGCTGGGCGGGGTCAAGGGGGCCTACGCAGTAATCGATAGGAGATGATGGGGGAGGCGGTCGTTTGGCGCGACGGGCAGGGTCGCGCCGCCCATTTAAGGCGGTTCGCGGGATGAACAACTCGTTCACATCGGGCAACCCTCTGTCTGTCCTCTCCAGCT